CAATGAAAATCAATTTAATAATAATTAACGAGACCTGGAATACATGAACCGATTAACCTGAATTAATTATAGCTACGATAGAATCTCACTCAATGGGTCAAAGATATGGATATTATTAATAAAATATAATCTGATATTTTATTTACTTGATTAACTTAATCTGAGACCAATTTAATTACAATTACCGGGACCGGCTCGGTGCCAATTTAATATTCGCGTCTTCATGACATTTTTAAGTAATTACTGGCTCGGTCCGATTTTAGAAATACATCAAAGGTAGTCGAATTATTTCTATAAAAAGTGTATTTCTTATTTTATATTTACATTTTTAATCATTTTTTACAAATTATATAGTTACTTTGTAACAAAAGAACTCAAAATGCTTTATTGTGATTGTGTGTTATTCTTCCTGTTTTCCTATAATTATAAATATACTGACATGTCCAAGGTACAGCACACAAAACGAGAATGGACGTCTGTATATACAGTACATGGCTATGATGAGTCATCGATCCTAAAACGGAGAGTATTTAATATTTATTGTTTGAATTAGAAAACATTTTTTTTTCTACATAGTCAAAATCACCCACCCATCAAAGCTCCTACAAGAATACTTAGTATTCCGTTGAAGACCATGTAAAATGAAAAGGCGCTTGTAAACACGTTCGAATATTCTTCTGCAATAACCATGACAACAAGGACTTGGATTAGGCACCGGGAAATACCCAAGATCCCGGTTAGAATAGTTAGGAACCAAAATGGTAATTCAAACATGAAAACTAAAATTAATTGAATGTATTACAATTGATGACTTGTCTACATACAGTTAGGTAAGAACCTAGGGGTGGGCAATATTTTTTGACCGAAGATCAAAATCAATTAAAATGTGAGGATTAAAGAGACCTTTGGGTCAAATACATTTTCGACTTTATCAACATCATTAAAGACAGTACAACTGTAGGGATTAATATGCAGGGAGAAAGAATTAGTATGCTTGTATTGTATTTACAGCAGTATTAGCACCAAGCAAGGAGGAGTTAGAGATAGCATTAAATAAAGTGGAAACGGTATTGACAAAACAATATTGTATGAAAATAAACAAAAGGACTGGTAAGCAAGGGAAGAAAAAGTAGGGAAAGATCGAATATAAAGATAGGAGACGAAAAATTAGAAGAACTGGCTGATTTTCGGTATCTAGGAAGTTAGATAAGTCAGGACGGAAGGAGTAGTAGATGTATAGGGCAGATGATATCGCAGGGTAGGCTCTACCCGGCTCGCCTTCAATAAAAAGAAGACACTTCTATGCTCGCGAACGGTTAACTTAGCAATTAGAGAAAGATTGCTAAGGTGTATGTTTGGAACGCGGCGCTGTACGAGTGCGAAACATGGACGGTGGGCGCGGTGGAAAATAAAAGGTTAGAAGTGATCGAAATGCGGTATTACAGACGAATAATGAGGATATCGTGGATAGAGAAGGTTAGAAATGAAGAGGTATTAGAAAGAATAAGAGAACTGAGGATTCTACGAAAGTCAATAAGAAATAGTCGAGATAGGTTGGTAGGATACCTTCTTAGGCATGAAGGTCTAGTCAGAGACATGTAAGAGGCCGAAAGAGGTGTTACGAGGGCTAGAGGTAGACCTAGATTAGATTACTGTTGACAAATAGTTAAAAGGATGTGGGATGTTCTAGTTTTAAGGAAATGAAAAGATTAACTCAGGATAGGAAAGAGTGGAGATGCGTGTCCAACCAGTCTTAGGAACCGATGATGATGATTATTGTTTATTTTCGGAACTAAAGTGGGTCACTTTAAATTATCCCAAAAGTTACAGGTCACAAGTTGTCGACCCCTATACTAACCTAGTCTGAAAATAATTGTCAAAATGATATTTATTAAAAAAACTAGACGAACGCTGAACGACCAGATTAAAGTGACAACACTGAAAATAACTCTCGAAATTAAATCGGATATGAAATATATGGTCATCATAAGGGTCACTTGGCTACTTGCTAGGCCCATTTGAGTGAGTGAAACGGGAAAAATTGCCATAAAATTTGTTTCAGAAATGAAGCTAACGGCTAGACCTATGGATATGTTCCAGTACCAGGCATCTTTTAAAACAGTGCAGTCCAGAATTTTTATATTGTTAATTCTGAAAAACAAATAAAAAAATCATTCAACGGCTTTTTATAAATTANCAAATAGGCATTAAATTAAAAAAGTTAAGGGTGGATGAAGCACCAGCACCGGTTCAAGATAAAATAACCATCGCATTTGCAAATCCATCACTGATTCTATGTATAATATTGGATTAATTTCGAAACTTACCTTGTAAAAGTCCATAACTTATTGTTAAGAAAGTTAAATCCGTGACGAATATTGATGCTAAACTTCCGATAACATAAAGGACAGCTCCAATTAAACCTACTTTACGATATGATAGTTTTTGAAGAAGGAAGTTGGCTAGCAAACCTAAAAATTGTTTTTATAAAAAAAATAATTTTATAATCTTCGGTTTTGTTGTGATTTTATTCGCGACGTGTTTTAGTCATTTAACAATATTTCCCAGTGAAAAAATCATGTTAAGGATGTAATTGAATTATTCAAACAACGTCAACACGATGCACTATGTTTCACAATTAACCATCGGTTAGTTCATATGATTAAAATAAATTTGACATTTCAATTAACGACATGGGGAGGAATTTTGGATATTGGTAGTTAAGAAATAACATTTAACATTTCATATTTATTTTGTAAAAGTTAGTTTCTCCTTTAATAAAATGAAGTAAAACAAACTTGTTTTACTTTATGTTATTATAAATAAATCAAGAATTGATGAACCCTTTCTGAAAGCAATTACGCTTGTATTATCACAGATGACTTTTGAGGTCACCAGAAGTATTTTGTCTTCATTAGATTTGTTACAAAATAATACACAGATGATAGTAACTTGGTAACAACATACATATGAAGGGATCAACAAACTTTTTTTGGAATCGGTTTTTTACCTGTTAAATTCAGTAGCGTCACATATACTGACGTCACGATAGTGACGGAACTTGTTTCGTCATGAAACTGCGATACGAATGGTCCAAATATCAATGCAAAAGATGATACTGGTACTACACTAAATGTCTGAAAATTATGGGAGTACCTGCTGTAGGCATGTTAATCTTTAATATTTATGAACATACCAACATTAACATTGCAGCAACATTTACCATATGGGCATATCCCCCGTCAGGGGCTATCATTTCATATTTTTGTGTGCTTGTAATTTTTTCTGTTCCCATGTTGGTTCTCAGTAGTTTTTTGCTTTAAATGGAAAAGTATTGTAATGTACCTGTTTATTTTATTCTGAAAGGGTTTAATTAATTTTTATGATTAATTAACCAATAATTAATCTTTTTTGTTATTGAACTTGAATTGTCCTTATCAAGATTAATCTTTTTAAATTGCCATAAAATTTGTTTCAGAAATGAAGCTAACGGCTAGACCTATGGATATGTTCCAGTACCAGGCATCTTTTAAAACAGTGCAGTCCAGAATTTTTATATTGTTAATTCTGAAAAACAAATAAAAAAATCATTCAACGGCTTTTTATAAATTACAAAAATTTACTCTTCTTCGTCTTCTTCATTGTTCTGAATTACAATATTTGATGTTGATGAGTTGGTTTCTACCAAATTAACTCTACTAGGACAAGAAAGGTGATTTTCAGAGCAGTCGAGAAAGTGTTGAACTTCAGATGCAATAGCCGCAACCATATCTTAAAAAACATCTTCAGTATCAATAAAAGGAAATAAGCAAATGAAAAAGCACTTGTTAATTTATAATTGATGTTTACCGTCTACTATTGACTTCCGTTTTAAATGTTTTTCAACCGGTTGTAGCAATAGAGATCCGACTACAATGTGCAAATTAATTGCAGTGAAGATAGCTTGCGTTCCTCTAAATCCATAATTTTCCAATAAAATTCTTGTAAACTCAGGATAAGCACTACTTAGCAAGGCAACCATTGTTTGTCCAATTGCCATAGCGGTCGGTTTTTTCACATTATAATAGGCATTAATTGCCGATAATGAAGATGGTATTAAAAGGCCTGCACCTAAACCTGTTTAACAATTTCGTGTAGATATTGTAATTTTATAAATTGATATTAACTAACCTTGAATTACTCCATACGATACTGTTAAAAAAATTAAATCAACTGTAAAGATCGACATTACATTTCCGCTAAAGTGTAAAACAGCTCCAATTAGTGCCACTGTCCGATACGATAACTTTTGAAGAAAACAGTTTGCTAAAAGACCTGTTAAGAAAATTTTGAATGTAAATTAAACAAACAAAAAAATTTTGAATTGCTTCGATTTTGATTAAAATATCAAATAATTCACAATTAGCAAATTTCATTGGCTTCTTCAGATGCATCTTTACAATATTTACAGATATACCAGTCGTAATTAATATCGAATATGAATATTTAAAGCCGTCTAATGTAATTGTTTAGGTTTACTTCGAATTAGCGTTTTTAATTAAAAAATCCAATTAAATGATAACACTTGGATACCAAAACTAGGCCTAGGGAACCCTTAAATCCTTTGATTTGAAATGTTTTAATTGTCAGCTAATTGTAGGATTATCTATAGGATTGTTCGGAAAGTCATTTCGTTTTTTTTTTGTGGAAATGAAAGATAGTTTTCGTATAATAAACAAATACTTTATTAAATTATATATTGACCGTTCTGGTCGAACACCTTTTGCCATCTTTCTGGTAGTAGCATAATTCCACGCTCATAAAATTTTNCGTTAGTAATTAATATACTGATTAATTAATCTATGTATTAACTTAGTTAACTGTGGTTAATATGAAATATTAATGTGAAAATTCATTGGCTTTACGCATCATCACCACCAAAGGTCCCGGGCTCGAGTGTGACAACACCAACATAAAAAATTTATTTAATAATTAATTTAAGGTAGTTAGTAGTAAATAAAAATTCGAAAATGAATTTTCATATTAGTATGTATTAACTGTTTACTGTTATTGTACTGATCCTTTAATATTTTTATACTGAATATTTAACTTTCTGTTTTATTTTTATAATTACTTTCTTATATGAGACCAATAATACTTTTTGTATACAAGTAAATTACTGAAAAGGTATCAACGACATAGGTCTTATAGCATTTTTTTTTACTATTTGTTACTATTCGGCTTTCTCAAAGACGGCTTGCTTTTTCTACAATTACTATTTTTTGAGTTTTCGGATTTTTAATTTTCCAGTGGACTCGATTTTTGAATCCCAAATTTTGACAAATCTCCACGTTTCAAGTCGAATGCGTTCGGAATTATTTTTCGTCTCGATTATCTCGAGAACGAAAACTGATACAGATGACTTGGGACCAATTGCTTTCGACGCAAAACCTCGCAACTTATAACTGATTAAGTTATCAGCCAGATTGGTCTAGCCATTTTTTGTGGAGAATCAAAAAACTGAACAGAAATGCAAACTAGCTGAATTTTGCAATTAATAAAATATACTTATTTAATAAATTGTTAAAAATTTTTTCAAACTATGTTTGCATTTTTTACAACTTTAACTTCAAAAGTATTATGAGTCTCGAGTATATATATATATCTATCAGGAATGATAATAAAAAGTATGTTGTCATGACGTGTAAACTTTTGAATCCTGTTCAAATAAACAAATAAATTAATAAAAAGGCAATAAAGCTAAAAAATATATACTTAGATTAAATTTCACTAATTGTAAAAGGATTTATTGATAAAGAAGTAATTTTCAAGAAGTTCTCAAAACTTTCAATGAGTTAAGGGGGGTGAGTTTTATCCTATTTTTGCGAAGCTCAAAAGGAGGGTAATGATTTTTACAGAATAAAGAACAACACTACTACTACTTATACAGTTTCATAAGTAAATATTATAAACTTAATGATCTTAGGAATACTATATAAAAAGTTAAACACATTATTTTCGAGCGAATTTTCACTTTTACTTGGATATAAGCAGAGTATAATGTGAGTTTTAAATGTCAAAGAAATGAAGCTAATCATAAGAAGGAACCATTTTTTTCAGAAAAAAAGAGAGTTGTCGTGATTACGTTCCAGAATAAATTTCCAGGCCAGTCCTGACAAAAAATTTCATAAAATTTTCTTAGAATCAAGTCAATTTAAGTTTACATGCAGAATAATAACCTGAACTGTAATAATTTATTAGTAATTCGCTTTTTGTGTAAATTTCGCTTTCTTATTGGAATTTTGTAACAAGTGAGAATTATTTGGCGATTTATTTATGCCGAAAAGTGGGTCAATAATGAGTAAACCAATGTGATTGGGGGTTAAAATTTTGAAACTCGCTATTCGAGTATTCATGTTAAGTTGTATGCCATATTGACAATCAAATGTCCTTTTACAGACATTTCCATTAATTAAACTCACCCATGTAAGAAAACCTCAACGACCAAAACAGCAGGTTATTAGAAGCAACACATCGACATTATTCAATCATCGATTACTTATCCTTTATATACGTTTACTTGCAATTACTAGTGGCCCAGAAAAATTTCTTGTAATCTACAATCGTCGATCCTGATCTATCGTCAGATCCGTCGCTAGACCATATTTTATTTTTTATGAGATATATTATATAAACGACCCCAAAAGTTGTGCTTTGTATTGTGATTAATATAAAAATGTCGGTTGTGAATTTAAACATAAATTTATAATACCTTTTACGCGTCAACTTGTCTACCGCTTTCAACGAAATCCACTTTTCATTTTGAAAAGGCACTTGCTCGTTTTATAGTTTGCTTTTGTTTAATCGCAAGATTGACCTTGATGGCTCTATAAAATCAATTTTTAGAGTTCTTGTGATATGTATCTATTTGCTGTTCTATGAAAGTGTAGGTATGCGGTACGAAGATTAAATTAGAATAAATCTTAGGTCATTGGAACAGTTTAAATTATTATTTACGTGATACATAAAAAAGGGTAATTGTATAATACGTACGTACAAATACAATATATCAATTTTTTTAACTGTTAATTGGTTAGTAGGTAAGTCTGTACTTTCGAATTAGATATTTATGATGCCCCCTTCATGCAAATATAATACGTTTAAAATCCCACGTCTTATTTGGCTTTTGTTATGTCACAAACAAAGTCAAGGTCATTATTGTAATTGTAGTACACGTACTCATTAAAGCGTGGGCAATTTTTGCAGATTTGCTGAATTTTTATTAACTTAACCGGATCATTAAATAAAAGGTAACAGAGTTGTCATCACCTGAGGATTATAGGTACAAGAAAATCAGTAGTGGAGTTGATGATTGGAGTACTGTGGAACTTAACTCAATATACACTAAAAAATCTAAAATTCCACAAAATTTTTACAAACCTAAACGTGTTTCGACATCTAATGTGAGATTTGACGTTTTAGGTTTCTAGACATTTTATGGAATTTTGAGGTTTTTGGTGTATATTCAAGTAATTGCAAGGATTGATTTGCGATTTATTCGCAGGATATTAATATATACTAGAAATTCGAAAAAGATTGTTAAAGGCGTATGTTTGCTGTACGGGTGCGAAACATGGACGGTTAGAAATGAAGAGGTAATAGGAAGAATAGGAGAACAGAGTACTCTATGGAATCCAATAAGAAATAGGCGAGATAGGTTGATAGGACACCTTCTCAGGCATGAAGGTCTAGTCAGAGACATATTAGAGGCAGAAACGGGAGTTAGGAAGGGTAGAGGTAGACCTAGATTAGATTACTCTTCGCAAATTGTTCAGGATGTGGGATGTTCTAGTTTTACGGAAATGCGAAGTTTAGCTCAGGATAGGAAAGAGTGGAGGTGCGTGTCCAACCAGTCTTAAGACTGATGATATATTGTTTATTTAGCTGCCTACCAAATACTGCACAATATGGTTTATTCTATAATTTTGTACTGTTGATTGCAATTGAGAACAAATCAAGGTCAAATAACGAATTGTATTCGATATACATATATTAAAAACGAGAATTATTTGGAAATTCTGAGTCTACGTACGTAATATCTTTTAATACAATATCAAGTACCACAAAAAAAAACGATTATGGATTTAGTTTGAAACAAGAGACATTTGTATTTTGTTTTTTTTTCTTTTTGAGTTGGAAAGCTTTTTAATTTTATTGATGGTTTATGACAAAAGGAAAGTCAGTCCGAAAAAATTGTAAGTCTTTTTCGTCTAATAGTAAAAACGACGGAGGGGTGTTAAAAACTTAACCCTGAGAATTTTATGGGATTAATTAGTTACGGTTAATTATGTTAAATTCAAATTTAAAAATATTCAAATAATTATTAATGAGAGGTCAAGCTAAATGTCTTACTTAAAAGGACTTGCTTTGAGGAACACAGAAGTTTTTATGTATGTTTTTAAGGGTAGGGTTGAATTGCCACTCGAAAGTAACAGGTAGATAAAACGGTAGGTATACTGACACCCAAGGAGGCGCGAATTGCCATCCAATTTCATAATGGGAATCGATAATGACCATACGTATCTGCAGTCTGTAGTAAGCAAGTTTTGTGGTAACTAGGGTGAGTCTCTTTCCAAAGACGTTAAATAGTCGGGTATAAAGGAATCGGGGATACTTTGCACCCCTACATTTCGCACCCCCACATTTTGCACCGCTATACAAGGAGTACGAACTGTTCGGACATCATAGAAAGGTACTACGAATCAATCGGGCAGGATCGAACTCGTACCCGAAAGTACCAGATAAATAAATGGTGGACAAACTGGCGCCTTAGAGGGCCAATTGTCCACCAATCACTTAATAGGGGTTGTTAATAAGAGCTGTTTTATTTATTTTGCGCTGCCGCGCCACTTCTTTCTCCTATGAGGGAGCATACGAATTTTTGGAAGGATTGTAAGTGCAAATAATTTACCTCAGTGATGAATAACACGAATAACTGCACTTAGTAATATTTATTTACAAATATACAGTTACTACATATATTGAAGACCCTGAACTTGATGATTACACTGATGCTACTAATTGTTGTCTGTTGTTGTCTTAATTGTTCTTTGTTGCTGTCTCTCTGTTCTTTTTTGATGTTGTCTCTATTTTGATGTCTCCTTATGAGTGTGTCAGCCTATTTATAACATAATCTCCACCCTGATAGAGGAAGGGGTGAAAGTGCTAACCAACTGGTTTCTAATATTATTTAAGTACTTGAAGATAAAGTATTTTAAAGATATTGTTACCTGCAAGTTCGATACCCTAAAATTATACCTAAACCACTTGCATAT